CTAAAATAGATGGCAGGCATCAGCTCCCCTCCGACAAATAGTCTGCGCCAAACCGGCGTAACATTTGTATTTACACAATATTGATATGTGTGCTGGTCATGCCTATTTGCTCGCAACCCACATACGTGCATACTATATGTATGTGGAAATTTGAGCGTTACACTTGCACATATTGATGATTTTGTAATAAAATGTTCCTATCAGAGCCATCGGTGGCGGATTAATTGGGTTTCAGGTGTCAACGATTTTAATGGTTGTCTCCAAGCAATGCTTTAAATAACGCAAGTACTGGGCTGCAAGCGTAGTGTGTAAATTAGGGTGGCCCAAAAATGCATGTGAAAGTCGGAATTTGTATGCTCTCACCACCTAGGATTTTCTTTACTGAAAAAAATAGACTCCTAGTTTCAGAGTTTTCCCTGTATTTTATATGGGAAAAAACTACTTTTCTTATAAATGGTATAGAATAGTTAAAAATCAATATTTATCTACTAGAAAACTCTGTTATCTTATAAACTATGCGAAATTTAAAAAAAAAACCGTTTGAAAGTGTTTTTTGTGTTGTCCTTGGCTATACATTTTTACAACTGTCATCAGTTTCCAGAAAATAAATGAAAATTCATTAAAAATTGCATTTGCTGCAAATTAAATTTTTCAATTAATGCGGGAATTTAAACTGTTTGAAATTGTTGAAAGAGTTTAGTTTCCCATATAGTATCTATCCCAGCGGTGCTATTCTTCACCTACATACATACATATGTATGTGTTGGGAGAGTTCTGCTCATCAGTCGGCTCAACCTAAACTAAGCATTTTTACTTTACAAACAGACGCCGCGAAGCCGGGCAGTTTTTCATCTTCTCAGTGTCCTGATTAAAGAAAACATCTTAGAAAGCAACCTTAAATGGGTCCATGAAATTTGCGCAACTTTGTTTCAAAAGCTTATCGTTAATTAGGTTCCACAATAGCGCCAACAAAACTTAAATCGGAAACGGCTTCATTTGGCACGTGGCATAAATATGCGTGCAGCTTCTTTGTATGGCTTAATTAGTGCACACAGCAGCGTGCAGCATGCCGAATTCAGCTGCCGCAATCACACGCAATTGCAGCAGCAGTAGCTGTTAAGCATCTTTTGACTAGTGAAGCGTATTGAAAATCAATTACAAGCAAATTAATATCCTCCAACAGCAAAGAGGCATGTGCAACAAACAGAGCCAGCAAACGCAGCTGCATACATAGGCTGTAGTGGCGGCACAGCATTGTGGGTTTGTTTGCGGCAGTAACATTTACACTTGGTTGCATTTTGCATTCACTGCATATTAACGATCTACGCACATACATACGTATATTGAGGCAATTGCGCCTCAACTTCATAATTTCTGCCTGTGAAGAACGTTAATTGCCTGCTGCCAAAAATTGCTGAAATTTCAAAAAGCTTTTCATAATTCCTTTCGCCTTTTTTCTTAAATAAATGCTTTCAAATTAACTAAGTCAAATTTGCCAAATTTACCGTAAGCACAGTTTGTATATTGATCGCCTTGTGTGAACACTAGGGTGGTCCAAAATAAGGTAAGTCGGAATTTTATTGCTCTCAACCCCTAGGATTGTTCTATATCGAAAAAATATACCCCTATTTTTTATTTTGCAATCAAAAAATATTTAGAGGTTCCTCAAAGCGCTCAAAGTTTTCTATGTATTTTATATGGGGAAAAAACCACTCTTCGTTGAAATTGTATAGAATTCTTGAAAATCAATATTTTTGGATCGGAAAACTCTGTTTCTCTTCAAGGGCAAGCAATCAAAGAAGCGAATAGCACCGCACCATGAAACTCTTTATAGAGCCTGTATTAGTATGAACTATGTACCCCGCGTCAAAGTAGAGTTCATTCCAAAGCCTGGTAGGAAGAACTACGAAACGCTGAAGGACCTTAGACCCCAAAGATTGACTTTATTTGTCCTTAGAACACTGGAAAGGTTGATGGACATATATTTACATAAGATCGCTACTAGGAACAGAATTCCTATCAACAGCGCAACACGCCTACATCTAAAGTAAATATATGGAGTCAGTTTTGAATTATGTGGTGGGATTTAAAGAAGAATCACTACACTTCAAGCAATAAAGTTGAAGTTGGCACCATCATCGAATCACTTAAGAAGGTGTTGGAAAACAGAATCATTCAGGTAAAAAGCGGTGATAGTCTAGTAACTAGATATGTGAGCGGAGGTACTCCACAGGGGGGTATACTCTCTCCACTCTTATGGGTGGTAGCGTTGAACGGCATGTAGCTGGAATACAATAGAGCTGGGGTTAAAATAGTGCCATACAAAAATGCCGCTCAGCTGCTCAGAAATGCCGCTTTCACGGCCTAAAGCATTGGTCCGAGGGACTTGGTATCAATATTTCCCTACGGCTGGTGAACTATTTCAGGCCAAACTCCTGAACATGTGGGAGGCCTGTAGGGTACTAAATAATAGCGATATTAGAAAAGTAAAAGCAGTGACGCACTATAGGCAAAACACGAGTTTTTT